CTCTCTCTCTCTCTCTCTCTCTCTCTCTCTCTCTCTCTCTCTCTCTCTCTCTCTCACACACACACACACACACACACACACACACACACAAAATATTATATATAATCAAAGAATGTTTTTAAGACACAATGTACCAAGGTTTTTAAGACACAATGTACTTGTTTTTCTCATATCAGGAGTGGATAATATTGATATCGACATGGATTTGCAAAAGGTAACAGTCACTGGATGGGTGGATCAAGAAAAGGTTCTTAGGAAAGTGAGGAAGACCGGAAAGAAAGCCGAGTTATGGACGTTTCCATACAACCCAGAGGTGATTGGATATACGCAGCAGTATGGCAACATGTACACACAACATAGTGACCCGAGCTGTAATTACTACCAAGATGTCGAGCAACCAGACATCTCAACGCTCAACTACTACGGGAGTGGGTACTATGGAAACCGACAAGTTACCTATCAGCAGTTGCCTTATTCATCCAGTGATATTGGCGAAAGGGCTAGCATTGCGTTTAGTGATGAAAATGTAAATGCTTGTTCGATAATGTGAATTAATGTGTGTTTGATATATTAAAACCAAACATGTGTTTATACAAAAGACGGGACATAGTCTTTCATTGCTTCTGATTCAATTCTTGAACTTTGTTTCATATAACTTCCCTTTTTTTTTATAGAGGTTAATTACTTTGCCACGTAACGAGTAATAGAATATTGCATGCATGGTTTCTTTTAGGGGTTAGCATGTTAACAGCAATTGATAAAAGAAAAAATTTCACCCAACATCTGTAAAACGGTTTTTCTCTGAAATGGTCCTTACGAAACTTTTTTCCTGAGATGATTCATATGGAGCAAACATTGCCCACAAAGGGTCTTTACCGTGGATGTCCGTTAGATAGATCCATTAAATTGAAATTTTTTTGGATAATGACTATTTCTATCATTTTGTGAAACTTGCTTAAAAATCATCTGTGAAATTTTACACAATGAGCATTTAAAATATTACAATGCTGTCTCTCACTTTTTTATTTTTACATTTCAGCCCTCTTTTTTCACAACTTTTTTATTATATGTTTTTTAAATATATAAATAAATTTTGTTGTCTAGACTTTATCTAAAATGATCAAACTACAATACATAATTAAATACTTTCGTTTTTTATTTTTTTTATCTAAAAACATTTGAAGTATAAAAACATCATTTTATTACTTTTTAATTTTTACACGATGAAATTTTTAAGATTTATCTTCATTTATCTTATACAAATATATTTATTTTTATGAACTAAATATAAATATGATGTGTTATTATAAAAAAATCCGTTAGTATAGAAATAATAGTATGTTGCTATTTTCTTTTAAAAATATAAGTACGCGGTTTTGAGTTAAAGATAAAAATATGTTTTGGTTTTGATTTCACAATATAAGTACAATAAAATTTATATTGCTTCGATATAAAATTTTGATATTTAATTTTATCAAATTTTGAATATATTTCTTAATAAGACATAAGCTTTTCAAAACAAACTTATAAAAATGTTTGTTAGCTAATAATTAACTATTCTGCTATATATGCTAAAGAGAATTAACCATATGAATAATATGATGTAACGTTCGCAATTTTGGGCTAGACGTTTAGAGTATAATTGTTGTAATTATACATTTTATCGAAATAAAATCGTTAATTAAAATATTTGTTCTTCATATTTGTTATGAGATAATAAATAATTATAATGTACACATTAAGTGAGCAAATATTAGGAGTATAAAATATTTGTAGAAAAACCTAAATATAGAATTTATCGTTAAACAATAAAATAAACATAAAAAATAAAATATTATTTTGGATAAATAATCTTAACGGAAGTCATATTAGTCGTGACTATGATTCTGTGGATATAAGGAACGTCCAGTTCTAACTTCGTATGAAGATGTTAAGATTTATTTAAGTTTTGCGTTCAAACCGATACGACAAGGTGTGTCATAAAAAGTGAACCGGATATATGTTGCTTTTTAGCGCAGTGATCTAAACGAAAGTCGTAGTGCTCGTCAATAGGAACACATTGATATAAAGAACGCTAAAATCTGACTTCGTATGAGGAAGTTATGATTTTTCAAAGTTTCAAGTGCGACACAATACAAAGTGTGCGACACAGAAATCCAGACCAAAATCGGTTGATCGTTAGCCGAAACAATCTAAATTAAAGTTGTAGTACTCTTCAATATGAAGTCAACGATATGAAGAAAATCCGCCCCTTTATTCCAGATTATTGATCAAGAAGCCTCTATTAACAAGATAAAAGATGAAATTCTTATTTTCGTGAAATTAGGCAAATCAAAAAAATATACTCTTCTCGTCATATATAATGAAAATCTATAAAATATAGAATTTTTTCTTTTTTTATATCTTACGATAATCCTATTTTGACTAAGAATCCATGATGGATGGGATTCTAACAAACCCTTCAATATATTCAATATAATTATAAATATAAATAGAATCTAATTAATTTTTAAGAAACTTTTTGCTTAGTAAATGAAATTCGAAGACAAGAGCAAAAAATGAAGAAAATAATATCTCATCCATATCCTTTCAAATCTTTCATGTAGAAAGATCAAAAACTACATTATATACTCACTTAGATAGATACTTATATTTATACTTAATAGCTATTAAGTAATAATAATAATTCCAATTTAGAATTATCAAATTATAATAAGATATCTTTATATATAATAAGATATCTTTATATTATAAATATAAAATATAAATAATAATAACAATAACAGGTACAAATAGTAAATTGAGGTAGTCATTCTATAACAACTCTTAACTTTCCCTCTGTTTTGGTGCCTTTAGTAGGCCTAGTATTTCCGGCAATCGCAGTGGCTTTTTTATTTCTTCATGTTCAAAAAAACAAGATTGTTTAGAGCCGATGGCACAAAATCTCATCTATTTTTTTTTCAAAACTGACGCTTGTATCATAACACAGATATCTATGGTATAAGTGGCTTCCGCCGAAAAACTATTATGTCTCCAGAAAATGCTATAGGGATCAATGGATTCTAGCTATTTTCAAATAGACCCGAATTGACGGATAGCTGAACTGTAAAGTTGGTCTATCTATATCTATTTGGCTATCTTTAGTGAGATCGTATGAAGGGTATGTTATTAGTTTAGATCTAACGAATTTAATGAATTACTCCTAAAGGATCACATCAAACTAGTGCTAGTTGATGCGAGTTACTTCGGAAAAAAAAGGACTAAAGTCAAATTCATTTGGGGTATTCTCTCAATTCCAAAAAAATCAACTGGATCAAGTATGAGTTGTCGATCAGAACATATATGGATAGAACCTATAACGGGGGCTCGAAAAACAAGTAATTTCTGCTGGGCTGTTATCCTTTTTTTAGGTTCATTAGGATTCTTGTTGGTTGGAACCTCGAGTTATCTTGGTAGAAATTTGATAAAAAAAACATGAAAAACGAAGCTCATAAAACAAAAACTAAAGTGAAAATTAGTCAATAAAGTTTAAATGAAAGTTGTAGTACTATATGTAGCTACGTGTGGATATAAAAACCATCGAAAACAGAGCTCATATGCGAAAGTTATGAATTCAAAAAATAATTAAATTCGGACTACCAGTGAGCAACACGTGGCTCCATCCTATGGCCGACACATGGCAAAATCTGGAACCACCCTTCTTCCACACAACAAGGCACAAGATTGCAACACGTGGCAGGACGCGGCGTGCCCTATGGATTTTTCTATGAACAACCTCGAATTCTTTCAATATTTTTTGTTTAATTATTCTCCAAACTCTCTCAAACTTTCCCGAGGCCCGACCCTAGTGGTTCTTAAATGTTAGTAGCGAAGCTCTGGAGCATTAAAGAGCCCCGAGAAAAAGAGCTTTCTGTTTCGCAGTTCTGCCCACGTAATGTCTGGTTTTTCGTCAAACAGCCTGTAAGATGCGTTATGCTTACCGTGCTGACCGATCTACTTACGAGAATGATGCCAAAGACAAGATCAGTGAGGTGTTTAAAATAGATTTTTCCAAACAATATATCATTATATGCCAAACGGATCTTACCTCCGATACGATCTTATCTGGTTGTTTATTATCAGCTATACGTTGGTGTTCTTTTGGTATTATTGATAAATATGATAAAAACTTATAATGATTAAATTTTCTAAATACGAACAAATACTTAGGCTTACTAATATTCGTATTTAGGTCGTTTTAAAGGGAAGTATGAAGCGACAGTCAAAGATCTGACTTTCCCACGAGTTTTCCACCTATATCATGTGAGTGCATAGTTTCTTTCATGAACAAAATTTAATACCAGTAATTATTAAAAAACATTAAATATTTATGGAAAAGTTTATATGTGAAATTAGATGTTTATTATTTAGAATATTTGTTAAATGTGTATTTGATAACATGCATTGTGTGAACCAGTTATTGTTAATTATTTGTTAAAATGTTTATATGATATTATTACGTAATAATCTTACAAATAAATATTATTACTTAAAAGATTACTGCATGTTAAAATACACTTTGTGTTAAGAATATACTATAAGTTACGATAAATGTTGTTAAACAAGAGTTAATATTAAAAGTTGATTACAATGATTGTAGTCTCATCTAAGTTCTAAACTAAGACATATAAAGAATATTTAGATCTAGTTAAGTTGGATAAAAGAATAGTCATATACTGTATTGTGCTAATATGGTATAAACAAGAAAATAGTTTGGAAATCCGTTATAAACATTATAGTCTTGTTTAATTTTAATTAAGACTTATAAAGGATATTTTTGATCGAAGTAAGTTGGAAATCTAAATAGTCTCGTAGTTGGGTAATGTGTGAGATTTAAAGCGGAGTGCAGTAGTCCTCCTCTTTTTGGATAGTCAGTATTGGCAGGTCCAGATCAGACAACTGGATGATATATCGGAGCATCTTCCATAGTCAGATGACAATACTTGATTATTCTAGACAGTCTTGTGAATTACGTTGATAGTGTGGATTTATAAACCATACACGTAGGTGAAATAGGATATCGTCATTCATTAAATACTCTGATGGCTTAAGTGCCTTTATAACTTATATCAACCAAGGAAGTCCTTAGATGTATAGTTAAAACCTTATTCTAAATGATTCATCAGACGAGTTGGTTCTTCTTGATAATCGTGGACTAGGATTTGTGAGAATTGGTTGGGATGAGTATGTAAGGGTGTAATGTTTTATATATATCTAAGTTATGTGATATATTTATATTTTTTTCCAGTAACATTTGGTTTTACTGGTTTGATAATTATAAATTATTATCATAATAATATTGTGGGATTGAAAACTCTTTGTATCTCACCAGGTTTCCCAACCTGACCCACTCAATTTAAATGCATCACAGATGATAGAAAAAATAATTCTCGAACTTGATTAAGATGCATAATGATTAAAAGACAACATGCATTAGTTTTCATGATCGCTGGTCTTTACGTTGTAACAATGTTATGTATTGATTATGACATCCTTAGATTTTTCTTGATATTTACTCAAAGATATTTTAATAAAGCGAAACAATTTCCGCAAAATGTTTTATTATACTATGCTTTTCCTCAAACAAAAATACTATGATTTTAAAGCATAAAGAAAAGATTTTTTTGTTTGTTCTGAAAAATAGGGGATGTCACATATGACATTAATTTTGTTTAATTTAATTTATTTAAAAGAAAATAAAAATATTTTAATATTTTTATAATATGAATTAAACATAATTAATGTCATATTAAACGGAAAAAATATGACATTAATTTCGTATAAAAATTATTTTCCATTAAATAAAATGAATTAAACGGAATTTAATATCATATTATTCATACGGTTAATTAGTTTAGCATGTGTAACAATGATGTTAACTATTATCTAACATATATTTTTTAATTTTGCTTTGAAATGTGTATGTCTTTATTAAGGAAGATATTAAAATTTTGATAAAACTATATAATTTTTAAAATTAAATATCGAAAGTTTATATCGAACCAATATAAAACTTACTATACTTATATTATGAAACCAAACCCGAAACATATCTTGATCTTTAACTTAAATCACATACTTATATTTTTAAAATAAAATAGAAACATACTATTATTTCTATAATAACGTATTTTTTATAATAATACATCATATTTTTTTTCATAAAATAAATATATTTGTATAAGATAAGTGAAAATAAATCTTAAAAATTACATCATGTAAAAATTAAAAAGTAATAAAATGATGTTTTTATACTTCAAATGCTTTTAGATAAAGTCTAGGCAACAAAAAAATATTTATATATTTAAAAGTATATATAATGACAAAGGTTTGAAAAAAGAGAGAAAAAATGTAAAAAGAAAAAAAATAATAGACTAACATTATAATATTTCTAATGATCTTTATGTAATATTTCACAAATGGTCATTAATAAAGTTTCACAAAATAAAAGAAATAGTCATTATCCAAAATTCTTTCAACTTAACAGATCTATCTAACAAATATCCACAATAAAGATCATTTGTGTGCAATGTTTGTTCCATAGTCTCGATATCCTATATATATATATATATATATATATATATATATATATATATATATATATATATATATTATATATATACTAGCTGTGTACCCGCGCAAAGCGGCGGTAGCGAACAGTTTTCGAGCGGTGATCAATTCTTTTCGGCGACGGTTGTATCCTTGTGGCGATTAGTCCTATTCGGTGAATAATTTTCTTATTTCTTTTATTTTGGAAAAAAATGTCACATTTCCAAAAAAAAGCGTGCAATTCATCGGTAAATAAGATATATCTATTGGGGTACCTTGTGCAGTGTGGTATGCGACAATTATTTTCCTTTCGATGTATAGTTTCTTCTATTGGATATTAAAAAAATTACATCTAGGCATATCGAAGGAGTATATATTCTTCTTGACCCAATAGTAAGGTTAAACTGATATATTGTTGAATATTGAGTTACCAATCATATTTTCATGTGATATAATGGTATTCGTCTCTATGATTTACTTTTTTTAGAATCATCCACTTATGCCTTGCTCCTAAGGGTTTTTTTTTTATTTTGTAAATTCAATAAAGGAAAAGGAAGAAAAATATTGATAAAAATAAAGAGGGAAAGAAAAATTTTCTTATTCTGTGTTCCCCAGTTTAAAGGAAATGAAAGAAAAAATTTGAGTTTTTGTGGTCATGAGTTGGGAGGGAAAAGAAAATATAATTAAAAGATTTTCCTTCCCCTTACTTTCTTCCGGAGTCCGCCCAATTTGAGAGGAAAATGTAAAAGGAAAATATGGTTTCAAAATCATTTTATTCCCCTCCCTTTCCTTCCATCAATGAAACTCGAGAACACGATTTTCAAATCATTTTCAATAAGAATTGTTTTTTAATTATTAACTTCCAATTTAACTTATTACTGTATTTTTTGTCAATAAGAAATAGATATCTAGTTATTGTAATTATGTATTATCACTGACCATTAGCATTTAAAATAAAGAAGCGTATTATAGTTTCTAATATATGCGGCCAAATTAAATTTTATTATCAAGAAGAAAACAGTGGCTCAAATTAAAATCCTAAATTGAACTTCTTAATTACCATCACTAAAAAGAATTATTGCACCATATTTTAATTGCAAATATATATATCAAATTGTTAGTAGATAACTGGCTATTTGGTTATTATCCATCTCTAATTCACAATGGTTAAACAACGTACATTTTGAATTTACTATGACATTAGAAGTTGTTTCTTTATATTTGTATATTGTATGTCACGTTTATAAAATCTGATAAAACCTAAATTAAAATGTCATGGAATACGCTACATAAACTTGAGTGATCTACTAATATTTAATAAACTAAAGGTAATAAGCAAAAAAGAATAACAAAAAAATAATAAAAAGTAGAAAATGTTAGATTAACAAAAAGTTATGTTATAAATGTTACACAAATCAGAGACGAACATGTCGTATATGAAATTGCATCGTTGGTTAGTTTATTTAGCTCTTACCAATAAGTCCATTTAAACATGTATTTTCTTTGACAAAGCGTCCAAGTCAACCCGCATAAGGAAATAAAAGGTTAAATATTTAAGCAACTAAGATAGACTTGTTTTACCGGTTTATAAAACTAATCCAAAAAATAATAAAAATGTGACAAACGGAAGCATGGAATATCAAATTGGTAAAAATCGACATTGTCAGATAAACAGTAGTCTTACCCAACCATTAATGAATTTAAAGTTCTTTTCTATTATCTGGAATAACTTCAAACTGGTAAATTAACTAATTACATTCTTCACACCTCTTGATCTAGTTTGTCATGCTCTTTCTTGACTTCTCCACCGTGGTATCCAATCGATTCTACAAAGAACCAAAAAGACATAAAGGGAAAAAAGAGCAAACACAAAGGCAGAAGTAGAAATAACACAAATGCTTCTATCAGTAAAGAAAAATTATTAAGATAATTACCCTGATCCTGTATTTTGGTTCATAATTCTTCACAATCTCAACATAATCATAAATCAATCCAAACATGTTGACTTGGCACCACCAACGTGAGTTCTGAATTTGAATACAAAGATGCCATTTGGATCTTTAACCTCGTACATCCTTGCCAACTTCTCCTTGCTCTTCCCAATAGAAGCAACTGGTTTTTTTTTCCAAAATGTTCCAATAGATACCAACATAACTTTCCTCAACCCGAAGCTACAATAAACATTCAAGAAAATTTGAGAACTTACTCAAGGCTATAAAAACATTCAAAAAGAAGAAACAATGAGTATGCTTTTGATAACAGGGCACCAGAAAAGGGTTTGTTTTGATAAAGTGTAACAAACACAAGAATTTTGTTTGCTAACCTGCAATAAACCCAATGAAGAAGAATAGTCAGAAGCTAGATACACAAATATGTACCGGTCTTTTTACAAAAGACTGAATGCTACACATATCTGCAACAACTCGTAGAGATCAATTTGTCTGTCTCTACCATTCATATATCCACATCCAAAAACATGAAACATAACCTATTAGAGACCCGAATCTGAAAACATCAAAGAAATACCCATATATATTGATTTATACGTAAAACAAATTTATACTCATTCACACACCAACATAAACTGATAAACATATAAAACACAAGCAGAATATAAAAAACACACACATTTTCATTTTCAAAATACGAAATAAACACACACACACACACATCTGACATATCTTATCGTATTTGTGTTCGGTAGTGGTGGTGGTGTTGTCGTGATAGATAATATTGACGTCGATGTCGCTTGGTGGTGGTGTTAGCAGTGGTGGTTGACCGGACGTCCGAGATAAAGATAGGGTTAGAGATCACTGCAGTTGATATCATCTTTCTACTTTGTGTTAGTCTCCGATGTTCGAAGTTGGTGAATTCGATGTTGATTGGCGGCTGCTTTAAGGTTTATGGAAAACGATGATGGTTAGGGTTTAGAGCGATATAGATCAACCGGTGATGAATTTGGAGAAAGTCGTAGAAGTGGAGCAAAAAAAGTTAAAAAACCCTTTCTTTCCTCCTTTCCTCCGTAATTATGGCTTATTATTTGAATGAGTGTTGACTTTCAACTTGGAAATACCGAGATATAAGGAAAGCCCAGTCAAATGAAATTGAACCGTTGATGCATTGTATCCGATGTTCGTACTTATTATCATTTGAACATTTATAATTATAATATTATTTTATTAATGGTTACTTATACTATTAGTTTAATGGTTTGGACGTCTTAAAAAAATAATATTATTATATTCAATCTATTTATAAAAATAGTGAGATTTCTTTTATAAGATAGTATATATATATATATATATATATATATATATATATATATATATATATAACACCTGGTTCGGGTATTGGAGGGAAGTTGCCAATTTGGGGAGGATTTATGCATGGACTCGGCGAGTTGGGAGATCAACTCGTCGAGTAGGGTCGTGGCGTCTTGGACGCGGGTCGGAACTGACTCGGCGAGACGGAAGGCCCGACTCGACGAGTCAGAGCTGTTTAGAGAAAACCCTAGTTTCGGGGTTTGCCCCTTATATAAACATCATTATAAACCCTAGTAGCCTCCATTTTACACCCTAGAAGTTGTTCACGGCCGAAAACCTCTTGTGTGAGAAGAGAGAGCATTTGGGAGCTTGTCTTTGGGATTTTGGGGAGGATTTCAAGCTTGAAGAGGAAGTATCAAGGGAGGAGCACTAGATCGAGTATCTATTTCGTGTTGGGCATCTGTCTGAGGTATTAATCTGCTACCTTAAGCTTTGATTTCTTTGTGGAGATTATGGCCATCCTTGAGGAAATGGAACCAAGTTTGGATCTGGACCTATCACAAGGATATGGTTCCAGATCTAGAATTTCTTAGGTCCCAAATGTCATAAAGTTGTCTCCTTGGTGCACCCTAATTCTTATTCATGCATTAGGGACTTGTAAGAAGCTTGTTGATGTGGTTTTGGCATTATGAGACTTAGTATGAACGTAAAGTTGGCAAATTTACGTGGTATTATCACTAGTAGAGGATAGATCTGAAGTTTGGGACCTTGAGTCCCACTGGAAAAGGCCGTAAACATAATGGACTAAGGGGACTCGGCGAGTCGTGCAAGAGACTCGGCGAGTCGATAGGGTTTCCTTGTTCACGGCGAAAGGTTCACGGCCAAGGGTTCACGGTCAAGAGTGTTCGGTTGGGATTTTACGGCCGTAAACATTAAGGAACTCGACTAGTCTCTCGGATGACTCGGCGAGTCGATGAGTTAATCACCTTATGATTATGGGCAGTTGAGAAGGAGTAGCGTGTGGGATATGTCTGATTTCTACTTATCAGTTCAACATTCGAGAGGTGAGTCTTCTCACCACACCAATGGGTCTAAGGCACCAAGGCCAACCCATTTATCTAGTTGTGATGATTGTTGCGAATGTGCTATTGATACATTATGTATTATGTGAAGACCATGCGGGGGTTCCCATGGAAAACAGTTATATATGTAGTATGCTAGTTGATTGTGGGGTATTTGGTATGCTAGTTGTCTTTGTGATACTTGAATGGAAGACCCCGGGGGTTCCCGAGGCAGTTGGACATAAGACCATGTGGGGGTTCCCATGGCTTTCCAGGCTAAGACCATGTGGGGGTTCCCATGGCAGTGGGCTAAGACCATGTGGGGGTTCCTGTGGCACCTGGTGTAAGACCTTGGAGGGTTTCCAGGGCATCCTTATATGTTTGTATGTTTAGCTCATATGTTTATATATATAGTTTGCATTATGTATTGTTTGGCAGGAAGACCTTGTGGGGGTTCCCAAGGCAGGAAGACCACGTTGGGGTTCCCGTGACACAAGGTGTAAGAACCTGGAGGGTTTCCATGGCTTCCTTATATGATTCTATGCAGGGCTTATGTGGTAGAGATAACATTTATAGCTAATATGATATGTGCTATGTGGATTGTGTGTGAGGTATGCTTTGGGGGACTCATTAAGCTTTGTGCTTACGGTTTACAGTTTTGGTTTCAGATATCATCGATTTAAAGAGGGAGAGCTTGGATTGATCGCAGTGCACACACCTATGATTTCCGCAATGAATGATTTTGGGATAAACTCTGATAAATGATTTACTTAACAATGATTTGGAATGTTTGAAATAAATGGTATCAATGTTTTAGTTATATTATAAATGAAATTTTTACCCTTGATTTTTGGGTCGTTACAAGTTGGTATTAGAGCCTTGGTTTGAGGGATTCGGGGATACCTTCGGGTGTTGCCGAACTCAAACTGAGGATCTGCAAAGTTTTCAAAAACTTTCAAAAGAAAATGTTTTCAAGGAAAAGGTTTTCTAAGACAAGAAAGGGTGTGGTTTATGCAATCAACCGAGCTCAAGTAAGTTTCCCCAAGAATACCCACATTTGTTATCTGTTATGATCTGATTATGAATCTGTGGATCACATGCTAGTTAGGGCTAGGGGAGATGCATGTATATGTTGTATGAACTGGTATACTTGCATGCTAGAGTTGAGTAGTCAATAATAGGTTGGCCTGATATGTGGTGCTTGTAGCCATGAGGATATTGGATGTCATGCTAGAATGAGAATGATAATTGGTATTTGTATCTGCAATGTGTATGTTTTGAAAATTGTATACGGTTAGGATCTTATAACCTTAGAATAGCTGATTTACCTTATTTCCTGTGGTCTTAGGGTAGAGTCTATTATTCGACAGTCTATTAGATCCTGTTCTGTGTATAATTTGCATGCATAAAGCAGCCGGCAGTGAGAATGGATGGATGTGGATAGCGCGGGTTGCGATATGTGGGTGGAATGTTCTATGGCAGTTCTTCGGATCGGAGTATTTCTGCACGAATGCTGATTGCTTCGTGCTTTGTGGAACTCTTGAGTGATGGGAGTCAGCCACTAAGTGGATATGACGATATCCAGGAGGTGGATGGCTGGCATCATGAGGAGTTCCTCTGCAGCTGATGGAAGGGTGAGGTTGGGAACCTAGGAAAGCCTATGATATGCTCCAGTGAGTTAGTGGGGCGGTTCAGTGAAGTTAGGGAGCCTAGGAGTTGCTTCGGCGGATATTGTGTTGCGGTATAGTGGATATTCGATGCATCAAGGGGTAGGTGACTTAGAGGATTCGAGAGGATTGCTGAGGAAAGTATGGATAGGTGTGGAAGGTAGTATGGGCCTGTACTACTGAAAGCACATGATCCATACTCGAATCAGTGAGAGTCTTGGAAAATCTAAGAAGCATGGGAAATAGAATTTTTGATTATGATTGGACCGTGGGGAAAGCTGCTGTGCAGAATGTGGATGAGCACGTAAGGGAAAGGACCAGAGTTTGGTCCCGGCTCCGGTGGTGAGCCAGTTAGTGAAAGGACTGCAAGGATTGTGCGATCTAGTGCACATTCGGGATTGGAGACCAAGTCTCAGGGTTAGTTTGTAGCCCGGTTTAGAGCAGAGGTTGCTCCAGTTATTGCAGTGTAGTCGTGACGATTGAGCTAGTGAGTGGGTCAGGGTGCGAGACCCGGGATGATATGGATTCCAGAGCCCGAGGGCGGAAGATTGATTAGGAGTACCTCGAGAAGAGAGGTTCAGGTCATGTGAATTTAGTGGAGGATCTCGGGAAGAGATCCAGAAGTTTGGATCAGATTTTGAGAGGCCATTGGGGCCGGATTCGGTGCAACGCTTGTGGAAACTGCACGATGGAGTTTCTTTCCAAGGGTTGGATTGTCATTAGGAACAGAATAAAGTATTCCATCATGTTCTCAGGAGGAGGTGGTCAGGATTCCTCCAGATGTTTGCGGATATGCTATCTTCGGCCATTCCCGGTGGATATCGGGAATTTGCATTGCTTTGGAATGGTGATAAGTTGGATATCGGGTCAGTTTTCTGCTATTATCTGGGTTAGCAAAGGTTGTCAGATGCCATTCAGCATGTCGATGAATCTTTGAGAGATCTTCAGACAAATGTACCACGCGGAGCGGAATCCGCGTATACCATGATTGCTCTGAGTCGTTGTCAAATTATGTTTAGTGATCTGAGTTGCTACGGGTGTAGCAGGTTTGGTCATGTTTTCAGGGATTGCCCACAGGGGGCAAGTCTGTTATAGTTGTTGCGATCAGAAGGGAGACAAGGAGGTCGACCGTTGGAACTCCTGCAGGCAAGGGTGCATGCTATGTACCCTTTTGCCTCCCCACCAGCGTTGCCAGTATTTAATAGCAGATATTTTTCTTCAGCATGGGAAGGCGTATCGTTGGTTGTTATCTCATATGGTGGTTGAGCTTTAGGCATCTTCAAGAACAGTTATATGCCATCTGCAAACTGTGAATTTGGGTGGAGTAGTACAGGGTCATCTCCTGATATATCGCGGATTTTTTTCAGCATTCGAGTGTCATTGTAAGTATGGTCGGGGTTGGTTCAAGGGTTCATACGAGGGGATTTTGTCTGGGTTCAGTAACCTTAGCAGTTATGTTAGGAAAGCCTCTCGGAGTTACCGAGGGAGGGAAGGAGAAGCTGTCGCTGAAGTATTGTTGGAGCATCCGACCTTTGGACTCCAAGATCTGAGTGTGAACAGCTAGAGTCATTGGCACTGTTGGGACACAAGATGTGCTAGTTGGTTTTTGGGAATTGTGTTGTTTGGAAGGGTTATGCATGGTGTTCTAGCTTTGGTAAGCACCGGTCGTCAGCAAGGTGAGCATTGGAACGTAATGAGGATTGGGAATCCTGCAATTTTCGTGTGCAGAACGGACTTAGTTGAATCTAAGTGGGGGAGAACCGCCCAGGTATCCGGGTCAGAAGCAAGGGTGAAAGTGTTGTAAGACTACGGGGGAGCCGTAGCATTCACTAATGTTC